TTTGTTGGGATTTTGTTATATGCTCAAAAGACTTGGTTTTGGGGAGATATGGAGGAAATGGATTATGACTTGCATCTCAACAACTTCTTTTGTGGTTTTGGTGAATGGTGAGCCTTCGTCTTTTTTTAAAGCATCTAGTGGCCTTAGACAAGGGGACCCGTTGTCATCTCTCTTATTCCTAACAATCATGGAATCTTTTAGTAGATTGACTGATAGGGCTGGTGAACTTAATCTTGTTAGAGGTATTTCAGTGGGTATGGAGGACTCCATGGTGAAGGTTTCCCATCTTTTCTTTGCGGATGACGCCCTTATCTTTTGTGAACCTGATTTGTCCTCTCTGCTGCATTTGAGATGTATTCTTTTAAGTTTCGAGTTGGTGTCCTGTTTGAGAATCAACATAAAAAAAAATGGAAATGGTTAGAATTGGTGATAGGAGGGATAATTGGATTTGGCGGAGGTTCTGGGATACAAGGTTAACTCACTGCCAATAAAATATCTTGGGCTTCCACTTGGTGCTAAATACAAAGATGCTAGTATTTGGGAACCCATTGTTGACATGTTGGAGAAGAGGTTAGCGGCCTAGAAGAGGAATTTTTTATCTAAAAGGGGGAGGCTTATTTTGATAAAGAGCACATTGTCAAATTTGTCAATTTATTACCTCTCTATATTAACTATTCTAGCGAATGTTGCGACTAAACTTGAAAGGATCCAATGTAATTTCATTTGGGGTGATGATGAGGGGAATAGGCGGCATCATTTGGTGAGATGGAATAAGGTAAAGAAGCCTTTAGTGGAGGGAGGTCTAGGCCTTAGATCTATTGCGAAGATGAATTATGCACTTCAAGGCGAATGGCTGTGGAGTTTTGGATATGAGGACGGAAAACTTTGGCGGGTGGTGGTGGAGGCGAGATGGGGGAATTGGGAAACGGATGGGGGGAGGGGAAAATATAAACCACATGGGAGGAGTCCTTGGAAGAAAATTAGTGGGGGGCAGTGGATTTTTGAAGTGTGTCGGGTGGCAGATTGGGAATGGGAGGGGGTTTCTTTTTTGGCAGGATGAACGGTTGGGTGAGGGTAGACTGAAGGACAAGTTTCCAAACATTTCTCCATTACTCAAGAAAATTAGTGAGGGTTAAAAGACACTTGAAAGACTGAGAAGTGGAAGAATATTGCAATCTGTTGAGTTGTTTGACCAACATTAAGCTGATGGAAAATGGGGACAGCAGGATTTGGAAACTTGACAAGCATAAGGGCTTCCCGGTGAAGTCATATTACAATTTCTTAGCAATAAAGAGGATGGTGATTTGCTGTCAGCACCTTATAAGCAGATTTGGAAATCAAAAGCTCCTCCCAGAATTTCTTTTTTTTTTACTTGGGAAGCTGCTAGAGCAAGTATCCTTACTATTGATATGTTGAAAAGGAAAGACAACGTTTTGATTAACAGATGCTATTTATGCAAATGTGCTGGGAAATCATGCAATCATCTCTTACTCAATTGCCTAGTTGTTTACAATATTTGGACTGTGGTCTATGGGATGTTGGGGTAAAATTGGGTTAGTGCGGATGCTGTTGGCAATGAGTTATGGGCTTGGTCGGGTATATGCAAAAAGAATATACAACCAATTTTTGGATTGTGTGGAAGAAAACAAATAGGAGACTTTTTGAGAATATATAATCTGACTTTGTAAAAATTAAAAATAAATGAATTAATACTTTTAATTCCATATTACTGGGACATGAAATGAAAGGCTGGAATGATATTAGAATGGTCATCGATCATTTGACTCATATGTAAATCTATTTTATATATGGGCGGTACTCCCTTAATATTATTGTCCATAATAATATTTCTCTTTTATTTAAAAAAAAAAAGACAGACTTCCAACCAAAATAGAATTGTTGTGGTAACCACGTATGAACAACACCGCATAGTTGAAGTAAAGATCCTTGGCCCTTTTATCTTACAATTTTCATTGTTGTATCTCTTCACAAGCTAGTTCCTCATTGTTGTGGTGGAAATGTGCAGGATTCATCACACTTCTAAGATTTGGGGATCGTTGTAACTCTATTTCAACAGTAATAAATTCTTGCAAGTCACACTCAAAAGAAAAAAACATCTGCACTTTCTTTTCAGACAACTCAAACGTGCGAAATAAATATTCAAACAGAAGTTGATACTCAATCTAGAACAAAATGAAAGGACAAGGGTATTTGGGACCCCATGATAGCCAAGCTTGAGAAGAGGCTTTCTGGATAGAGGAGAAGCTACCTCTTAAAGGGGCTAGACTTACTTTGATCAAAAGAATCCGTTCTAGCCATCTCATCTATTTCATGCCCCACACTATATGCCTAGTAATGTTACTAAAAGGCTGCTTGAGTAGGTTCAGGACAAGTTCTTTTAGGGTTGTACAGTTGAAAAGAGATATTTTCACTACGTGAATCGAACATGCAAGCATTATACTAATGCTTCTAGCAAAAAAAGGCATCAAATATAGACTAAACTGGTACTAACTCATGACTTCTCTTGCATGTAAAACCTTTAAAATTCTCAGAATGAAAACTGCAGGATAAATTCACAGTGAGACTTCTAAATTGCAGGGAAAGAAAAGCATGTATGACCATGTGACCAATTTACACTTATGCAAGCCACATTTCATAAATTCCGGAGAATAGGTTGTGACTGATTCATTGCTCAGATGGCTTGCGTCTAGATAAATTGACCACTGACAAATGAGTTTATTCATAGTTGCAGCTAGTCTACCAATACCCACTCTGCCTGATATGTTGTCAATCATTTTCCTCTGAAAACGCAATCAATCAATTCAAAACTTGAATAATAATGCTAATCCTAGCCCTTATAGAATAGCATTACAGTACTATCGTCCTTCTAAACGCCAGCCGCCATGCTCCACTAACGAAAATAAGACCTCTGTCTTATTGGATTGTTAGTATCATTTCTTTTCTTTCCTATCCAACATTCTGCGTGGAACTGAAAAAAGGAAAGTAAAGAGGGAAAAGTGTAAGAAGACCTCGAGCTCGGCAGACTTCATGGCGACGGGAATACAGATTAGGATAATCCCGGCCATGGCGATGGCAGTGTTGCGACGCCAGTGCTTGGGCCTGCAGTACGGTCCACCCGACATGCTCCACACCTTGCTCCTAAAGTCCGCATGGGCTCCCTCTCCTCCGTGTCCATGATCTGCTCCTCCCATGACTTCTCAATTGATCGATCGATTGATGTAACGAATCCTTAACTTCAACTGCAAGGAGTAGAACGAAAAATGAGGCGCATATACAAAACCCTAATCAGTCGATTAGAAGCATATATAAACATATATGGATGCATTTGCATATATACAAGATAAATGTATGAACAATTGCAGTATATTGGATTGAGAAAGGAAGAATCTAGTTGCCAAAAAATGTTCACCTGAGTACTCTCTAGAACTTGGGGATTGGTGGAAGAGGAAGATCCGGTTCAGGTGCGTCGTTTGCGTTAGAATTGGAAGAGTGGGGGAGAGCTATTTGTCATAATTTGGAACATTGAGGGCTTGTTTTGTCTTTCTACTCTCAACAAAAAAATTGTTGGTATGGACGGTGAAAGCTTTAAAAAATTAAGTTGGACTTTCCAATTCTAATCGTAAATATTATAAAAAAAAAAGGTGTCATGCTAAAAATAAGAAATTCTAATTTTAAATCTAAATAATTGTTGCAAGTTGAACTTTCTCTCAAACATATACTTATATCCATTGACACCAAAAGAGTACAATTCGTATCCAATATTTATAAGTCAATTAAAATATCTATGAGGTTTCCAATATTTATAATATAATACAATAGATGATTCTTGATAAAAAAATTCAAAGTATGAAATCACATATCGTGAAATTATTAAAATTAGATTCAGTATCCTTGAATATCTTTTTATTCCTCTATTCTAAATCATCCAAAATGTAACTGGCGAAATCAGTCTCAATCTTTTATTTTCATAAATACTAGTTCAAGCACATAACTTATTTTTCACATATTTAATAATGACAAATATAAACCAAAATGACAATGAGCTAAACACCATAGTCGATTAGCAAACAAGCACTTAAAAGAATGTGATTGTAGAACTTAGCTTTTCTTATACACTAGCAGTAGTCATTTACTAGAATTATTTATCACTTAATGAGGTTGTCCGAAGTTAGAATACACCCCCAGATGACCTCCCATATGAAAAAAAGTTATCCTTGATGTTGTTTTTACTTTCTAAATCAGTTTTGTAGGAAAATTCACCTCCTCTTGCTCACCCATTTGAAGACAATTATAATAAATTTCATTAAGAAAATATCCAAAATATTTAATTTTCAACATAGTCTATCACTTGTCGACTACTGCCCCTTCTTAACAATGATAGCTTCTCTAAAAAGTTTCAAATACTCAGAAATTTCCTGACTATTTAAATTTAGACTCGATACAATTCATAAATTCTCGTTATTATCTTATCCTATTACATAATTATTTATTGCAACGTTTCTGTCAAATGCAACTTTGTAAATATTCAAAAATTGATGACACAAAGCACGTATCTCCATCTAGTCATCCCACTAAAATCTCACTATGCCCTAAGCCCCACGCTCCACCTAATTACAATTTGATTTTATATTCAATTCAGTTTTATCATTTTAATTACTTTCTCCGCAAATGTTAATATAAATTCATAATTGGAAATTAAAAGGTATACATAAAGTTGATTCAATTATGCATTAAATATGTAATTTATGATATTCTAATCTCATCAAATTAATTTTACTTTAATTTAAATTAATCTTGAGAATATAAAAGTAAATTTATTAACATAAATATTATTACTGCTACTATTATTATTATAATTAATTCATATGTTAATTAATATTTTTTTAAAACTTATATTTCTTACCCTAATCATTTTTAATTTTTTCCTCGAATTCAATTTTATTTCCTTCTACTCCAACCCTTTTAACTAATCTCAATTACCAACTCATGAGAACCAAGACTCAATAAAACTCGTTCTATTAATCTAATAATTTTTCAGTCTAAATCTTAGCCTTATTTAAAAAAAAAAAAGTCCAAATCTCAGCCCACGTAGCCAAACCCACCCCATACCCAACTTTGGCATAACCATTTCAATTTACTTAGCTCATCCATCTAAAGCACCAAAAAGACACCATTCTAAGTGTTGTTTTGTCTTATTTGGCCTTTCGAAATGACAAAGAAAAGAACGAGAAAGGTTTGAAAAGAAAAAAGGCAAAAAAAAAAAAAGAGAATGGCACTTTGATAAAGCAAAGGAGTGGGTAATCGGATATGATATAACTTTCTATATACTAACATAACCACTGGTTAATAAATTTTTAGCCACTCTGATATTAGAATTTTATGGCCAGATTGTTCATGACCAAATTCTCACTTACATTATCAAAATAATGTTAGTAGCTTTTTGAGAAGTTCAAATGATAATAGCTGAAAATATGTTGATAGAAGATTGATGGTCGATAGACAAAAATTGACAGCTGATATATTTTGGTTAATAGATGATCAACCAGTAGTCATGTTTTTCATTTTGATCATTCTCCATTTTCTTAAAATTAATAGTAAACAAGTGATTTCATATGTTTTTGAAAATTGTTATTTAATAATCAACTAGCGCTCGAGAGTATTTAAGTATTAAACAAACATATATCATGAAGAGGAACCACAAGTTATGGTTGACATTTATAGAATATAGCTAGTTTCATGTTTGCACAGTTTGTTAATAAATAATAGTAACTTATCATTAGAATTATATCTCCTATTTAATAACAAACA